CTCCCTCGCTTCTTGCCTTTCTTCCTCCCCTTTCTTCTCTCTCACTCCTCTCTCTCTCCTCTCTTTTCGTTACTCTCTCACTCATTTTAATTCTTTTGAAATGAATTCTCATTACTTACAGATAAAAATATTACTGTCATATTCATTGATTTAAAAACAAAATTATATCATTTCCATTATGCTTTTTAAGCAAGAATGGGCTCCTTTTATTTGTTTTATTCGATTTGTTATATTTTGGGATATTTTAAATATATATATAAATCTTTTCTGAACGGCACGCTGAATCTTTTGAGTTTGCTATTTATAGAGTTAATTGCTTCACATATGCAAATGTAAGCATTTCTTCATTTGCAAATAAATATTTCTTCTTCGCAAATATAAACAGTTCTTTATTAAATTAGTAATATTGAATTAGAAAACTAATTTATATAAACATATATATACATTTTAAGAATAAGAAAACATTGGTCCTCTCGTCATTTTATCACATTTATTTATTACATTAACACACTTTAAAATATGGCGCTCATGTACAACATATAATGAATTATACTTGTCTCTTCTTATTATTACAAATTTAAACGATTAATATTTTATAAAATAACAAATATTCTAATCAATTTAATAAACAAATATTTATTTATATTATAAAAGAAAAATGCAGAGCTTATAGAGATATTACTATAAATATATATATATATATATATATATATATATATATATATATATATATCATAATTGATATCACATATATAAAATATATCATTTACCCTAATCTAATGTAAAGGATAATATATGTATAACTAAATTGTCACATCATATTTTTACGCCACTTATTTGGCACTTCAATATATAAGTTCTATAGAGCTTTTATGTTCTCTGTAGCATTAACAATATATAATGTATTAATTAATTAGTTATTATTAATGATATATATAATTTAATAATTAATAACGTAATAGTTTATCTTTAATATTTTTCTACATTGTTACAAAAAGGAAATAACTTTTTTATAATATATCTACATTATATGTATATATTAATTAATAATACGTGCCCAGGTCTCACACACACACACACACACACACACACATACACAATTTACATTGATTTCTCTTTTCTATTTAACAAGTGTAGTTGCTTTAGTGCATACGTATATATTCTTCTCTCTAAAAATATTTATGAAATACTATTAGGATTTGTATGTTATCTCTGAATTTGCCGTTTGTCTAATTAATTAGTAGTTATAAGAGCATGCATTTTTTATTAATTATTAGAAAGTAAATAATTAACTAATATCATTTTTTGGTATATATTTTTTATTTTTAAATTTTATTATAAGAATTTTACTTAAAATATAATGCTAAGAAAGATTTTATTTTTTTATTTTATCAAATATATATATATATTAGGGTGTCCCTTATTTACTAATTTTGAAACTTTTCTACTGTCACTTTTTAAAAAGATTTCTATAAAATGGATAAAAATAAGTTCTATTTTTTTATTTATTTTTAATCCGTGTGAACAAACATTAATATTTTTAAAATAGACTGTTTAAGTAAAAGATATTATTAAATTTATTTTCATAATTTCCCATATTTTCATTATTTTCATAATTTCTCAATTAAAAATTATTCTATAAAAGTAAAAAAATTAATTATAAGTTGTTATTTTTAAAACTTATGTTTTATCCAGATAGATTGATGTACATAAACTTTAAGTATATCATGAAATTCATCAACGTTGAATCCCTGACTGATCAGATCGCACTCATATTTATTGAATGAAATAGAAATATAAAAAATATATGAAAAAAAAGATCAAAATTTATTTTTTAAAAAACCTAATGTCATGTTAATATGAAAATCTGTAAAATATAACTTTTGATTTTATTGCTGCATTATACAACAAAATATGGTAATACTTTAGAAAATACATCAGGATCGAATCGTCTTGATCTTGACATATGTTGTTTTATCTTAAAATTCTACGAATCAAATATTAATTCAGATATCAATTCAAAGGCAATAAAAAAATTATGCAGTCATTTTTGGTATTTATTCGAAGATACAAAGATATAGCTTTAACGTTTTTTAAAGGCACCATACTGATTAAAACAAAAAACTTGTTATAAAATTACTCCAAAATGATATTATTTTTCCTAAATAGTGTTTCATGATTTTACTAAAAAATATTGATTGAAATATTGATGACATTTTAAATATGTTTCAGTTTCTCAGTTTTAAATTTACTATTTATTCGCATTGGATTCTTAGCAACAGTTAACTAATCTAGTTGCTTTTTACAAATACAAGGTCATTTAGTTGATTTGACTTCTTACATTTTTAAGAAAAACTATATGTTCATTTCACACAACTTAAAATTGTTTTTATGATTTAAAAACAATATTTTGAATTTGACTTTTTGACTTAAGATCTAATAACATAAGATATGAATGTTATCTAAATGAAAAAAATTATAAAACCCTAAAAATAGTAAATTATATCGAAAAGGTAATAAAGTTGATGGGGATTATAACAAATGTGTTATAAGAAATGCAGAACAACAGAAAGTTTTTCTGCATTGTGTGCAAGAATACAGACGTTTCGAACTTTAAAAAGGATACTTTAAAAATGCAATATTATTAATTTTAGAAATTAAATTTATATTTCTGATTCATTAAAATGTATATATTTTTTACTTTAATTTAGATATTTTAAATTATTATTATTTAGAATAATAATTTAAAATAATCATTTATCTCATTATAATTTAACCTTACTACTTCTGTATTTCTTATTATATAACTTTATTACTTATTTTTAGCATTTTTGATTTTTAAAACGTAATGTTTTAAAAAATTTTCTCGCCTTATTATTATTATATCAGATATGTTATAAATGTATATGTAAGTCATTTGATGTTATAAAACATTATACCTACCGGATTTGAAAAATTCCATTTTGATGTTTTTTTTTTTTAATTACGTTTTATTTTTTATCGAAGCCTTGTCGGGATGGAATTAATCTGAAGACTGAAATTTTTTTATGTCATTTTTTTGTATGATTTTTATACCAATTGTAAACTTTATAAGAAGTCAGATGGAAAAATGTAGAATTTTTTTTATCATGTATAAATAAGGGATATCTTAATATATATATACACACACACACATAGGGTGTTTCATTTTAATTTCTCCAGGCAAATATTTCGGAAAATAATGAAAAATCGAAAAAATGTTTCAAACAGAAGTTGTATGGTTTCTAGGGAAACATAAGATGGTGCCATTGGTTTGACCTTGAAGAGTCATTTGAAGGTCACGTGAAGGTCACTTCAATTTTTTTAAATGGAAGGCCCTATATATTTTTGCACATTCTTGTAGCTCATCTCGAGAGCTTTCCAAAACACTATAATTAAGTTAGTTTTCATTAAGTACTTTCCAAGTTATGAGGCTTGAAATTATTTCTTAATTTTACATAAACCGTAAAATATCTTGTAAAATATTCATTTTTCGATTATCTTATCTTAATATTTTTATATACAAAATAATGAAAGGAATCAATTGGTGTAAAGAAAACACAGAGTTGTTTCAAAGAAAAAATATGTAATTGTTAATTACAAATTACATATTTTTTCTTAAAAATATGTAATTTATGTGTTTTCTTTACACCAATTGATTCCTCTCATTATTTTGTACATAAAAGTATTAAGGTAAGATAATCGAAAAATGAATATTTTAGATATTTTATGGTTTATGTAAAATTAAGAAATGATTTCAAGCCTCATAACTCAAAAAGTGATGAAAAAACGTTTGTTTATTTATAGTGTTTTGGAAAACTCTCGAGATAAGCTACAAGAATATGCAAAAATATATAGGGTGTTCCATTTAAGAAATTCAAAATGACTTTCACGTAATCTTCATGTGACTCTTCGAGGTCAAACTAATAGCATTATCGTATGTCCCCCTAGAAACCATACTACTTTTGTCTAAAACATTTTTTCGATTTTTCATTATTTTCCGAAATATTTGCCTGAGGAAATTAAAATGAAACACCCTGTATATATTTACGATACATAGCTTATTAGAGATATTAATAAAAACAGCTGAAAGTATAAAATTAAACCGTTGCATGAGATTTGCACGTTCCATAAAAGAATTTAGCATGAAAGACCCGTTAGGAATATAACTGACGGTTTTAACGGTACAGAGGTGAAAGCAGATCCAATTACTAAAAAGGACGATGCTAAAGAAGACAAAGAAAATGGCAGGAACATGTTGCCTACAACACCAGCCACTACTGTGGTGAGTACGCTTTATACCCCTTTCAAAGAATGTTGCAAGGCATTTTCTGTTCGCCGAAGCTATGAACAATTAATTTTCATACTTTATAATACGCTCAACATGATGCAACATCATATGATATAATATAATGCAAAAATATAAATATTGAAATATTTCTTTCTTGTTAACTCTTTTAAATAGGATTGTTTTACACATAAAAAGCTAGAATATGATTTAAAGAATATATACATATGCATGTTGAATATTAAAGAAAGAAGAGACAAGTTCATCTCCTCATGTGCCATTAAATCATTTCATTGAAGTACATCAGTCCCCATATTATTTAAGACTCAAGAAATTTTGAAATAGTATGGAAATGTATTTTAAGATATTATATAATATCTTATTATTATATTAAGTATATTTTTTTTAATGAATGAGACAATTATTTATAGACAATTTAACAAAAAATACATATATTGATATGAAATTCATTGATTACATTTCCCTACAAAGTCAAAACGAGTACATTATTATGGAATTTTAACATATTTTATCAAAATATATATTTGAATAATTAATCCAATGTTGGCAAATGTATTTGAACAATTTTCTATTCTAGAGCAAGTCTCTAGAATAAATTCATGAAAAAGATGGGTTGGGTTAGACAAAAACTCGTAAAGTTTCTGTTCTGTTTATCTTGAGATGAGTGTTACAGGATCGAGGTGGTCGACAAGTATGGATATGTCCTGCATGCGGCAACCAGGATGATGGCTCCCCAATGATCGGCTGTGATGATTGTGACGCATGGTATCATTGGTAAATAACTGGTTGGATTATATAAATTAATTAATTAATTATTTAATTTAATTATAATTAAAATTAAATTAAATTTCAATTTAATTTAAAATTAAATTTTAATTAAAGATAAAACCATTGAGTTTATATTTGGAAACTTTATTCTTTTTCTTAGAAAAAAGTAAAGAGAAAGGGCGGTGAAGGGAATAGAAAAAAAGAAAAAAGGAGAGAGAAAGATAACATATACAGGGTCCCAGACCACCTTGTACATCCCTTTTAAAATGAAAATAAATGTCTTTTTTCAAAAATTGCGAATATTTTTTAATTAAATCGGATACGCTCTATCAAATGCAGTGTTTGCTGTATTGTAGATAATTTCAAAATTATCAAGATAAAGATAAAGTTAAAAATCCGTAAATTTATCTTAGATGAGATAAAGATGATTTTGCTTTTACTTAATCTAGATGAAAGATGAGATGATTATTTGCGATAATCTAGATAATTGTCTAGATATTTTTGTTTATTTTATAAGACTAAAAATATTGTAAAAAATGTGATGCAGATTATAAATGGGATATTAAAATCATAAACACATATTCTTTCTCTTTTCCTAAAGAATATTTAAATAATAACAAAAAGATATATAAATTATGATAAATATTTATTTATTAATTTATATTTATAATATATATATATAATATATTAATAATATAAGAATCAATGTGTAACAATACATATATCATTTTTATAAACTATACATTAATGCATTGCACAAATTTAAATAAAACAAGTACAAGATAAAGTATATTTGTAATATTATTTTCCAAATAAAAAATATATTTTAGATATTTTAGATAGATTTTTAGAAGCTTGCCTGGAAAACTCTTTTGCATAATGAAAACGTCATCTTAGACAATTTTTAGACAAGATGACATATATTTTTTATCTAAGATAAAGATAAAGATACTTTGTATTTCTTCATCTAATTAAAGATAAAGATGATCCATTTTTTATCTAGATAAGTATCTAGATAATTTTATCTAGATACCAACAAAGACTGATCAAATGGTAATATTTTCAACTTTTGATTCTGACCAGAAATACGTCATCCGGATCGAAAGTTGAATTTTTTAAGGGAATATAGTACTTTTTATTACAGATTTGAATTGTACGTGAAAAAATAAGAAACTTTTGTATCAAACGTTATTTTCTGAAAGTGCCTCTGTCAATCTTAAAATTGACCTTGAGATGTGATGATAACTGTGATGAAATAATGAACTTCAATTTTAAAATTGACAGAGACACTTTCAGAAAAAACGTTTGTTACAAAAGTTCCTTATTTTTTCACATACAATTTGAATCTGTAATAAAAAGTACCATGTTCCCCTAAAAAAAATTCAATCCGATTTGGATGACATATTTCTGGTCGGAATAAAATGTTGAAAATATCATTTTTTAGAGCGTATCCGATTTACTTTAAAAATTGTTCGCGATTTTTGATAAAAGACATTTGTTTTCATTTTAAAAGGGCTGTACGGGTGGTCTGGGACATCTTATATATATAAGTTTTTCAATATTAAAATAATTTAAGAAAATTTATTTGAATAATAAGATTCAAATGTATTTTTAATATATTAGTAAAAATATATAATGTAACACACGCACACACATACACACACACTAAATTAAAAATATTTGGATATTGCAGGGTATGCGTTGGAATGCAGGTTCCACCAGCTGATGATGAGGATTGGTACTGTCGATTTTGTATAGCGAAAAAACAGGAACTTCTTCATGACAAAAAGAAGAAAAAACGAAAGAAAAAAGTTAAAGTAACGGCCTAGTATAAACCAACCGGGTCTAATTGCATGAGACCCGGTGTCACCATACCATTTACTACCAAAGTTAAAACAAAAGACAACAAAATTGGCGTTAAAAGCGTAAAAATGAAAAAGGTGTCCAAGAGTGATGTTAAAATGAAGGGGAAATCCATCATAACTAAAGGAAAGACTGCAAAGAACATAGTGAAAGTTAAGAGTGTAAAAAAGAAATAAACAATTGTTGTATTATGCAGTACAATTGAAATAGCGGAAATGTTATTTTCTAAATTGTAGGATAAATATAAATGATTCTATTCTGTATCAATTGCCTATAACAATCCTGTATTACATTCACAATATATATCTTTATGTTGATATTATATTCATTAAAAACTAAAATATCAACAGATACAAATGTCATTAAAAGTATGGATACTTTTACAGATTTTATACAGATTTTCATTTTTCTATTTTGTATGCACATTTATGCGTTTTGTCACACATAGTATGTGATTTGTTACACAGCGTGAAATTTGTAGTATATTTTCCTAGCTCCATTCAACTTACATCACTTCTTCACACTGTCACTGCTTTTAGCAGACTTAATGTAGAAGATAAAATATCATCTACTTTTAATGGAGAAATGTATAGAAATCAATTATGTGTAAAAACCATATTAATCATCATGAATGTAAAGCATTATGTGTGTGTATGTGTGTGTGTTTGAGTGTGTGTGTGTGTGTGTATGTTTTTTTTATGTAAATATATGATTATTGATAAGAAGTATACATCAATTTCCAGATCAAATAAATGATGAAATACTTTGATAACGATTTTATTATGTAATACTATCACTTTATTTTAATTTATATTAATAGTAATTATATTTATGGTGTAACTATAATTATAGTGTGTGTATATATACATACACACACCGCACATATGTCTACATGTTTATTATGACTATAGCAATTATATATATAATTATATATATTATAATTATTTGCATGTATATAGCATAATTAGTTGCATGTATAAAATGTGAAATGTTGTTTAATTCTGAAGGGCTACGAAATTTTGTCTATTTTTGAAAGATGTATTTATTTTTGATAAATGCTAGCTCTAAGTAAATTCAATGATATATAACAATGATATATAACATTGTTGTGAAGTGCAAAAAATCAATGATTGTATTTTGAACGAAATATGGATTTATGGAAAATATATAGTATCACAATGCACGCGAATCTTATATAAAAAGCAGAGCACATATGATATATAATCAAAATCGATGTAATCTCGAAATAAACATAGGAAGAGTACAGTGAAATAAGATTAAAGAAATATATTGGAATGTTTAATATAATGACTGAATTATTACAAGACTAAGCAAGAATAAATAAAAGTAGTGAATTAATTTATATTACACTTGAGTTATTCTTTTAGCAAAAAAAGTATATACGTCTTTCGAAAATAGATGTAATATTTTTTATCTCTTATTGTAGTATGTGCTCATCACATTTATGAAAAGATAAAAGTAAAATTGATGAGATATTTTGGATAATAAATAAAATTATTAGTTAAATCAATATGCAAATGCCTTGAGCAAAATTATAATTAATTTCATTCATAAAACTTAATTTTAATTCAAATCAATTGATATATGATTATAAATATCTATAGTAATTATATCAATCTAATTATATAACAAATTATAGATGTTTGTAATTATAATTTATTATATAAAACTTAAGCATATATATATTTATACATAGATATAAATTTATCTATGTACTTTTTTTCTACAATGTAAACTAAATATATATTATAGAAGCAAATCAATTATTATTATGAATTGTATATATATTAATATGTAAGATATTTATATGAATATATATGGTGCAAAATTGTATTGATTGCAATATTTATTATTGTAATCTCCTGTTTTTGTAAAAGATACGATAGACACAAATGTGTAAACAAAATTTTTTTAACTAAATAAATTATCATTATTTACATGTGCAAGGCATTTATTTATTTATTATATGATAGTATGTGTGTTATGAACACAGAAATATAGTAAATTACACAAACCTGTTAAAAAATATTTGCATTAAAATATATTATTTCCAATGTGTGTGTATGTTTCATATATATATATATATATATATATATATATGTTTATATATATAAAATTTAAAAAGATATTTGTTATATTTAAGTGTTTTTCTTGATATAATTCATATTTTATACCCAATCTAATTATGACAGGTGACAAAAAAATACAATACACATATAAATATAACATGATATAAATATATAATTAGACAATAATATCTGTTGGAAGTGTACATCTGTTAAAAAGCTAGATGGTTTTTATCGCATAACACATTTTATTTTTTTCAATAGATATCAATTTTATTTTTTGTAGATGAAGCATTAAGTCCACCAGTATCACCAGATTCAAGTTGTTTTAGGAGTCGAAATAATGCAGCAGCTTCTCTAATTCGACTAAATTCAATACAAAAAGCTTGGACTTCAATAAATAGTTCTTGCACATTGATGATTTTGTTCCTTATTAAGGATTGCAAAAATACACAAACGAGTCGCACAAGCCGGCTTTGCATATAGCGATCCTTAATAGTTTCACAAGTGGATATACAATTGCTGACATATAAATGTACAAATTCTGTTGGTAGATCCACAGTAGTGGTTAATCTATTCACGACTTCCATAGAATGAAGGGACATTTCCATGTTTACTAATACACTGAAATATTCAGTGATTTGGCTAGATTGCATCAGCTTTAATAAAACTTCAATGGCAATTAGAGGATTATTCTCAACTAAATCTGGTAATTTACAAGGCGTAAGTCCGATGTGATAGACGAGCTTCGGATCATTCTCCAATTCATTGACCAAATGCTGCTGTTGTGGCAGAGTTAGTACACCTTTAAAAGCCTTCCCCATTAATTTACGAGCTTCCGCACCAGCGCAATTTGATACGCACATGCTAGCATCATATTCAATTGTAAATTGCGTCGGTTCTGTGACATTAAACCAAGCTATTTCATTAATAGAATGATAAAGAGGTGGCACCAGCCTGAGAAATTCAGGATGATAACTTTGTTTGCATAAAGGTGGGTCACCAACAATAAGGGTTTCTGTTATGTTTCTCACAGTAGTTTCATCGAATTCTGTTTCCTTAGAATGATCCATATCAGGCAGAATAACAGGATTTCCACATTTACTAACAGAGGGTAATTCTGATTGATGTTCCGCTAATTGCAATTGTAAATTAGTTAAATCAATAGATGACACAGAGACAAAAGACAATTCGTCCATAATCTGATGAGGTGTTTTCTTCATAATGTCCTTATGATTGTATCCCAATAAATTGACCAACAAATTCTTCTCGCATTGAGACAGAAGTGGTATATGACCCGTGTGATTGGCCAGTTTGGAGTTTTCATTATTAGTGTTTTCTTGTTTTAGAATCTGCACGAATACACTGGCAAAAGGTGTGGAAGCTAATGGTTCTCCTTTATATAGATCAAACAGCAGTGTTAACGCTATGATACGTTGAACTTGTTTTGGCAGCAAATCAATGTGTTGCAGCTGTAGCAATAATATTGTTCCCACCTTAAAGCGATTCTCCTTAGAAAAGCTTTGGTGCAGTTGATTACAGAGACTTTCCAAGGTGGTATCTAAATTTTCTTCGTCGAGGAGATCCAGTAGCTTTATTAAAGTTTTCGGAGCGAGCATCTTTACTGCGCGATGAGTCGAGCATTCGCGACGACTCGCTTGTTATATTTGACAAGATTCTCTTCTGCATTTATTTCGTAATATCATAAGAAAAATAATATGTGTGTCGTATTATGTGAATATCTTAGAGCAGAGTATTTGCAAATGAATATTATTATTCAAAATTGCAAAAAATATATATATATATATATATATATACATCTGAGAGAAGAATAAAGGTGCATTTTCACTGCCTCTGAAACTGATCATTTGAGCGACAAAATGATCACGTGACGACTTTTGTCGCTAAACTATGGAGATTGCCCGATTAGACACAGCCAATCATATCGACCGATGTCTAGGGTAAATAGCACGATCAAGCACGATTAGTCAATCAAAGCTAGTTGTGTCCAATTGTACTGTGTCTAATCGGAGGTGTCTCCTAAACTATTACAGCGGCAGCTTGTCGCAAAATTTTAATAAAAATTTTAATAAAAATTTTGCGATAAAAATAACATCAAACACAGTATCAATCGGATAAATGTAGTTAAATATATAATCAAAATTTTTATTATCAGACCAATTAAAAATTATCCGATTTACGTCGTGTTTGATATCATTTTAATCGCAAGAATCTCAATAATTCATTAAAATTATTTTCAAATGAACAAAATAAAAAATAAGAGTTTCAGTTTTTATTTTATAAGATGTTTACATTCGCGCTGAATCCGCTTATCTTTACGACCTGTCAAGTGCGAGAGCGACAGCGAGTCAAGAGCGAGCGAGATGATCTATCATCAAAGAATTCCAAAGTCTCTTACAATCGGCTTCTTCAGTTTCTCTATCCATTTGCAATTTACAAGATTATAAAATAAAATCTGAAACTTTTATTTTTTATTTTAACGATATGAAAGTAATTTTAATGAATTATTGAGATTTTTGTGATTAAAATGATATCAAACACGACGTAAATCGGATAATTTTTAATTAATCTGATAATAAAAAGTTTGATTATATATATTTAACTACATTTATCCGATTGATACCGTGTTTGAAGTTATTTTAATCGCAAAATTTTTAAATTGTCATAGGCCGCTTGCCAGCGGCAGACTTGATAACGAGATGAACATGACAGTATATCAGTACGTAAGGGGATTGCTCGATTAGACACAGTACGATTAGACACAGCCAATCATATCGACCGATGCCTAGGGTAACCAGCACGATCAAGCACGATTAGCCAATCAAAGCCAGTTGTGTCCAATTGTACACTCACGACAACGGTTCGTTCCATGCTCCCTCTCGCGGGGCAAGGGGAGCGTAGCCTCTAACCAATCAGCCACTGCCACTCTGCCAGCTGATTGGTCACTTCTACACTGCCCTTGCCCCGCGAGAGAGGAGCCACGGAACGAATCGTTGTCGCGCAGTGTACTGTGTCTAATCGGAGGTGTCTCAATGCGACCCCGAAACACACCCAATGTCTAGTAATAAAAATTTAATAGATACCATAATGATAAGTAGATTGTATATTCTTCATAGAAAATGTATTAATATATATAATATATTATAGATATTATTATACAATATATATTATAGAATTGCGCGTTAGCAGCAATTACAACATGAAGTATTACAATATAACCAAACATAGAAGGTATAATTGGCATAAATATATGTTTTCTAAATACAACATGAATATTATTTATTACTATGTATTCTTTGTATAGGATATAACGTGTGGAGTGTGCACGTTGAAAATCAATAAAAACAATGTTTTTAATCACGAATGCATGAAACATTGGCATAGGCACACTGCGCATGTCACACTTTTCGACGCTTTAACACTCGACGCTCAGACGCTCCCATGTAAAGGCACCTTAAGGCCCAGTTCCACAATCCAGTTAATCCGAGTTTAAGTAGCAAATGGACCAATCAGGACCCAGTTTAACGTATTAAACTCGGATTAACTCAAGTTGTGGAACCGGGCCTAAAAGTGGCATATGAGCGTTCTGATTGGCTACAGGCCACTTTTAAAAGCCTTTTTATCGATAAAAGAGGATTCAGAATATGGACCTTTGGGTACTTTCTATAGTTCATGTCATGCATATTATACATTTTCTATCGCTTCATACGCATCATGAGTGAATCGGAAAGTACCCTTTATTGTACCCCTTATTATCGAGTTAGGCCCGATTCCATAACTCAAGTTAATCCGAGTTTAATACGTTAAACTAGATTGGTCCATTCACTACTCGAATTAACTGGATTGTGGAACTGGGCCTTAATCGATTAAATTATAAGGCCGCAGCACACACTTTTGCATAAACGCATAACCAGACGCATAAGGAAATTGATTGGTCCCCAAGTATATGCATAAGAAAATGAACCAATCAATTTTCTTATGTTTATGGTTATGCGCTTATGCAAAAGTGTGTGCTGCGGCCTTAAACATTGGTAACATAGGCAATGTAAGTCAAGTAATTAAACTTAAGAAACATTTTTTCAAAAACGTACATGTTTTCAAGTTTTTATTTTTCAAATAAAAAAAAATTGTACTTAAAATTATCACTTATTTCAAAGAATCAAAGAATATTTGCAAAATATACAACATATCAATTATAGCATAAATATGAAAAGTCAAATATACGAATAATTTTTATAACATTCATTACCAAGAATCGACTTTTCATAATTATATATATAAAAATTATATATTTACTTTCTTAGAATACATACATTACATTAAATTCAATAAAACTTTTACTGCTGTTGGGTAGTCTGTGCCAGTTGACGTAATTGCTTTAATACAGTTTCAAGCAATTTTTTTTTATCTCTTTCGCTTTTTTTTAACACAGAAAACATTGTTTTTTTATCAGATTCTTTCAATCTAAAAAATATATGTATTAAGATTTTGTAATTAATAATGTGACAACAAGAGATGTAATATAATACATATAGTATATACTTTTCCAGCAGAAGGACAGCCATATTCGGAGTTACTAAATTATATTTATTACATTCATGACCATAATCATGAAAATAGGTAGGCCAATCCCAACTCATAAATAAATCTAGTAATTGTCTTAATTGCAAGAAATATTGTAATAAAGTCCCTTCTGGTAAACCAACTACTGGTTCAGAAGCAGCAAATTCTGGAAATTACAATATTGAATTTTTTTTAAAGTATATATTGAGAAAAAAATATATATTGAGAAAAAAACATAATGAAACTTACGTTCACATTGTATCGTATCTAAATTAACTTGTTGTAATGCACCCATAGATATCTGTTTCACATCTTCACTGATTAATATGTCTAATATAGCTTTAGCAATATGAGAACATGCAGATTTGCATGCCACTTGAGCTACTTCATCCTAAAATATATCAATTATTATATATTTTAGAAACACATAATGGTCATTATGTTGTAATATTTACTGGTAAATTAGTGAAGCACGTGAAAGTGCTCTGCAAGAACGCTATGAGATCCGTAATGAATCCCGAAGCATGTCCTTGAGGTTCTGCTAAATTCCAATCATAATTCTCCAATTCTAAAAATTCATCCAACTTCTTTTTCAATTTATCGCAGATCTGTTTTTCGGCATCATCCCGCGCGACTCGAAACATAGCAGATTCAACGCCCACACAACTCAATTGCCCTTGATGACATGTGCTAAAAAAATTATTATAATAAATATATATATATAAATATATAAATTATATATATATATATATATATATATATATATATATATATATACAGGGTGTCCCACCTAGAAATGGCCACCCCCTTTTATCTTTTAAACTAAAAGAGATAGACCATAACAAATATACAGGGTGACCCATTTTAATCTCCCCACCTAAATTTCTCGGAACCTAAGCAAGATAGAGAAAAATGTTTTAGACAAAAGTTGTATGGTTTCAAGGGGGACATAAGATGGTGTCATTAGTTTGATCTTGAAGAGCCACCTGAAGGACACGCGAAGGTCAGCTCCAACGAAAAGACATAGTTATTTTTAAGAAAAAATATGTAATTGTTAATTGCAAATTACATATTTTTTTTCGAAACAACTATGAGTTTTCTTTACACCAATTGATTCCTCTCATTATTTTGTACATAAAAGTATTAAGATAAAATAATCGAAAAATGAATATTTTACAAGATATTTTACGGTTTATGTAAAATTAAAAAATGATTTCAAACCTCATAACTTGGAAAGTACTTAATGAAAACTAACTTAATTATAGTGTTTTGGAAAGCTCTTGAGATGAGCTACAAGAATATGCAAAAGCATATAAGGTGTCCCATTTAAAAAGTTGGAGCAGACCTTCGCGTGTCCTTCAGGTGGCTCTTCAAGATCAAACTAATGACACCATCTTATGTCCCCCTTGAAACCATACAACTTTTGTCTAAAACATTTTTCTCTATCTTGCTTAGGTTCCGAGAAATTTAGGTGGTCGGATTAAAATGAAACACCCTGTATATTAAGATATGCAGGGTGGCCCATTTTAATCCATCCAGGCGAATATCTCGAAAACCAAGCCCAGGAGAGAAAAATGTTTCAGACAAAAGTTGTTTGGTTTCGAGGGGGCCATAAGATGATACCATTGGTTTTACCTTGAAGAGTCATTTGAAGGCCACGTGAAGGTCACTTCAATTTTTTTAAATGGCACCCCCTATTTTTTATTACATCTTCTTGTAGCTAACTTCGAAAGCTTTCCAAAATGCTTTAATAAAATATTTTTTCGTCAAGTACTTTTCGAGTTATGAGACTTGAATAATTTCTTAATTCTACATAAATCATAAAATATCTAGTAAAATATTCATTTTTCGATTATCTTGCCTTAATACTTTTATGTACAATTTGCAATTGTTAATTGCAAATTACATATTTTTTCTTAAAAATAACTATGTGTTTTCTTTACACCAATCGATTTCTCACATTATTTTGTGCATAAAAGTATTAAGGTAAAATAATCGAAAAATGAATATTTTACTAAATATTTTATGATTTATGTAGAATTAAGAAATTATTCAAGCTTCATAATTCGAAAAATACTCAACGAAAAAATATTTTATTATAGTGTTTTGGGAAGGTCTCGAGCTACAAGAATATGTAATAAAAAATAGGGAGGTGCCATTTAAAAAAATTGAGGTGACCTTCACGTGAACCT